CCTCTGAGTGCAACCCTTCAGCCAATCTGCAATCCATCTGACTGTGTAGGCATCGATGCCACAGTCACCTAGTTTTTTAACTAGGAGGGGGTGAGAGACGGTGTCAAAGGCCTTGCTGAAGTCCAGAAAGACTACATCCACCGCAACACCTGCATCCATGGCCTTTGTGACCTGATTGTAGAAGGCAATCAGGTTGGTCTGACATGATCTCCCCCTAATAAATCAAATTAAAACTGAAATTAAACTTCCAAAACAAAATTCCTGTGACCCTGATTTCCTGCTGTATAATACTTCTATTGCTGAGTTGACTTATCTGTATTTATAGAGTCAGGAAAAAACAAGGGTGTCTGCATCGCAGGGGTATCATCTGGGCCCAGAAGACTGGATGACACCTCAGACACATGCTGACAAAAGAAGTTATTCAAGCCCAGCTGACTAAGCTTAGCACTAAGTACTGCCAGCATTACCCTGAATCTATATATTCATCTGCACTAGAACACAACAGCAGGGTAGGACATCCTAAAGCAGAGGAAGCTGTTTCATCCCATGGTTTCCTGAAAAGGGTAATTATTACCCCACTGTCTCCTTTAATATTCAGCAAAGCAGGACCAGACAGCATTGCCAGTGGAGCAAGGCAGTGTCTCATCCTCAATTTGGTCAGCAAATCATTGCTGATCTCTGTAAGACTCACTCTGTCTTTACCATGCCCAAAAGGAACATGTTACCTCAGCAACACTTCAAACATCTGTTGACTGGGAGAGTCAAACCAGAGGCAGAAACATAATTCTCTTGAATTTCCATCTAAATCTCCTTTACTGCTAGAAAAATAGTTTCTTACGTCTAATTGTAATGGATATTACTGAAGAAAATCCAGAAATATTTGCTGTATTTCATCACCACAGGAGGAGAAGCATACTGGTGTTAAATTCAAACACTCTTGTAACGGTAAATACAATCCACAGCTTTGTATTTACTTTTAGGAACTTCAGTGAATATCCAGCAGTTTCTGTACTGGTAGGTTGCCCATAACCTTGTGTGTTATTGAAAAGAGCTTAAGTTTGGTTTGATCCTACATTTGTCATGACCCTAAATATTGTATTTCACCACACCTGCAGAAACTGATCTGATGTTTTATGTGCCTGCTTGATAAACAATCAACATCTGTGTGCAAAAGAGTGTGTGTTTTAGGAGAGAGGAGAAATGGTAAGTAACAGGGGGAGGAAGAGAGATAGTTTTACTAAACATTTTGCTACTGATCTTCACGGTACTGTGATAGGAGAGAGCATCCAACAATGAAACTGTCTGGGGAAAAATTTAAACAGAGGATTTTTTATTTGATTTGCTGACACTAGAATAGAAGTTCAATCAGCAAAATGTGGTAGTTATCAAAGTGGAAGACAGACCCCCATGCCAAAGCTGTATGCTCCATATGAGGAAGGGGTAATAGGCAACTCTAACTTGTCAGCAGTGGGAGGCCTTTGGAGCCGGCCAAAATATGAAAATATATAAGTGTGCAACTGGATCAACCTAGATTGGGGTGAATAACTTACAGCCTGCAAAGTAGTTGGATTCAGTTTGCAAAAATCTAACCTGGCCTAGGATGACAAGGGATCGTGGCAGAACGCCACTGCTCCAAACCACCTGTCACCTCTGCAGTATCCCCCTCTGCAGCCCTCCCTGCTGCTGTCACCCTTGCTGAAGAGGGTATCTGCAGTGAGGGCAAGCACAAACTGCTTGGGGTAGGGAGAGGAACTGGGGGCATAGGTGACTGGTAGGGGGTGCACATGCCCCCCTGACAGGGCCAGTGCCATCCCCTGTCAGCTGACACTGATGCTGTCAGTAGAGCTGGTGCCCGCCTGACAGCGCTGGTGGCTTCTGTGAGTGCCCCGCCATATTCAGGAGGCACCAGTCACTCATGGCTGGGAGCAGGGATTTGCAGCAAGGGGCTGTCACAAACTAACTCGCAGAGGAAAAAGGTTGTAGACAGCATCAGCAAAAGACAAAATACAGGAGAGCACCTTGATCATTAACCAGCTGCCCACTTCCCAGGAGAGAGAGAAACATAAACGCTTATTAGCTGCAGCAACACCTGCAAAGGCAGTTGTCTCACCTGTGTCAGTAGACTTCCTCTCATTTCCTACATGAAATATTTCCTTTCGTTTTGTTAAATTCTGCTTTGCTAGGAATTCAGCTCTCTGCCGGTGCTCACTCAGTTGCATTCCCACTCCATGTAGGGGGAGCTACTTTAGTAGCTCTTGGTCTCTGGAGCAGCTCAGGAGATCAAAGGTGTTTGGTCCTTAACACCCTATCTGTCTGGGAGTCCCAAGTGCAGCTGGCTACTTCCAGAAGCAGATGCAGGATTTTACAAAGTGGGGCTCCTGAATCCCAAAGGCCTAATCAACTGTTGTCCTGCAGCTGACTATTCTGCAGCCCATGCATAAGTTAGGCATACCCCTCAGGGTGCCTCTGTTTCCCCCTGCAGCTCCCAAAACTCTTCACTTGTAGACCAGGACAGAGAAATAGGGAGCAGCCAGGCCAGTGACATAACTTGAGGGGGAGCAAAACAAAAAGTTGCTGGTTTATGCAGCAATGATCAGAAGTTGCTGCTGCCCCATACCCTGGATGCTCTGCTGCATTGCTACACTACTGAACCAGTCCATGATTAATTTTTTTTTAAACAAGGAGATGCAGAAGAATGCAGAGCCATCCCAGGTAGCGGGATGCTTGCTCTGCCCTCCCTCTTGTGAGAGTGGTATTTGCTCGTCCCTCTCTTCACTCCCTTACCTGCCAATTCCTCCAGCAGTGAGGGAGAGAGAGAAAATTGTGCCTGCCAGTATCATCCCCAGTTGCCTCTCCCCAAGAGGGAGAGAAATAAGGTTCTGGCTTTTTGGCTCGGATCAAGTGTCTTCGCCTCTTGTGGACTAAGATCAAGTGGGGGCATCCAAATCCCCAAACCTCCAGGCTTGAGCCTGCACGTAGGATGCCTGCCAATGGATTTGGGAGTATCTGAAGTCCCAGGGTGACAGCGTGAGACACGATGTTTGCCAGTTGTAGCACCCTACGTGGTGTTTACAACGATTGAGTTCTGCCTGCTCAGTCAATATGATTTGGAACTGATTTGACCTGGAACATGAAATACTTTTATTTACATTTTTTATTAATATAGTTCCTCTTATGCCTTGTTTATGTAGGTGGGTGGAGACTTCTGTTAAGATGTTTATAAGTGCTCTTGGCACTATCAAGACATCAAGATATAAGCCCTGTGCAGTGAGTATGCCCTGAAGTAACAAAGGCTTGAATGACTGTGATTACTCTGGCCTCCAAAACAAAAACCTCCTGCTTTCTTTCCACAAATGATATCAAGTATAATTGGAAACCATTGTTACCCAAGTGTTAGGAGTTGCTGGGGATCCATCAAGACCCCTTCCTGATGAAATTGATGACAGTCACATGCCACTGGTCAGAAATACTGAGATAATTTCCAGTTCTGCTAGTTGCTCCCTTTCTCCATGTTGTAATCATTATCTCAGTCTTAACTAGATTAAATCTAAACCCTCATTCGTGCTCCTTTATCCATCCTACTCTAGCTGTGCTACTTCTCTGGACTGACAGGATCGGAAGGGATAACACAACAATCCACCCAGCATATCTCTATTGTACATGTAAAGTTTGGACTCACGTCCTTGACCGGTAATGGATGGCAAGTAGTTTATTAACCATTGAACTTGCATTCACCAGAATGAATTGGACAAATAATTACAACACCTGCAACTGGAGGATGAGTCAACCCTTGATGAGATTCACTTGCTGAGTGAGTTAAAAAAACTGAAGCAGCCCTTAAAGTTACAAACTCATCACTTCTGAAACAATCTAGTACTAATGTGCAAACAGTAAATAGAAATGATCTTCAGAACAACAGCCCATAACTGTAGATAAACAGAAATGCAGGCCACACTACAAAACTGTTTCAATGTGTTGTTGCCCACCCTCCCACGCCCTTCAGAATGCAAATTGCAAACAATGTAATCCAAAGGGCATTTTGCTAAAGCGTGCAAATCTTGCATAGCTTAACTAAGCATAAACTAGGGTGATGCTAAAAAGAAGACTGATATGGATTCTATTCTCTATATGACCTCAAGAAAGGATAGGGGCCACTTTAATTAATAGCTATGCAGTAATAATACTTAGTAGGCTCCATCTCCAGTTTCGGTCACTCTGGAACATTCATCCATATTTAAAAAATACATGCCCTGTATATTCCCCCCACATCTCCCTTCTTACCAAATCTTGTTTTTTCTTTCTACATATTTAGATAATCTGATCCTTTCTTTCTTTCCCATTGTGTATAGCCTGTAGTTATCTACTATAATATCCTTTTCTCAGGTGTCCCTAAGACCCAGATCACTTCCACTCAATTTGTCCAATGATTATCTTTTTGTCTACTAGTCAAACCATGCTGCTTCACACTTGAAAGTTCTCTGGACGTATCAAGTTTAAATGTGCCATCCTGTCAAGCCTAGGAACAGCCTCTCAGAGCCCAGCTGTTGTGCCTTGGCATTTTACTCTAAGCAGTGGTGCTACCGGCAACAATTCCTTTGATTGCTTGTATCACTCTGAATTTGCCCAGTCTCCCATAGCATCACTTCCAAGGTGTCCCACTCCCACTACTCTTCATTTAGATATTTTTCGAAGGCTTGTTCCTCAGTGAGTAAAGAAAGAAATTGAAAATATTAATTAAAAAAACCTTTAAAGCAGAACAAATATGAATCTCTGCCTTAAAGACTGTTTTTTGGATATTTGTCCTCCCATCCATGATCTCACAGAACACGACAACCCCCTTTACAATTGTAATTGAACAGCATAGTGGTGGAGATGACAGTGACATCGAGCAAAAATACTAGGAAAGTTTTTGTACCTCAGCATGGTGTGCAGCTGCAAACAAGAAAGAGGCTCTAGCACCATGTGACCAGCGAGGCTGAAGGTCCAAAGGAACGATTTCATCAGCTACTCTGACCCTCACCCTTGGCAGACTGCTGTAGCCTAGGGGCACATTGGAAACCACTAATCAAGTACCTCTGACGGTAACTCTCCTGCTATGTTTCTTGGTATGGTTGAGGCCTTCTGCACCCGTCAAATGAGAAGGCAATGAGGGACAAGAGAAAATGCTTTTGGAGGAAGCCTTGAGGAAACACCAGCCAACAGGACCTGGGTCTTTGGGAAAGAGCTGCTGAGGCTTGCGAGGAGCCAAAGCAACTGTGCTGTACAGAAAAAGTTGGTTTGATTTAACCTGATGTTTGATCTGTGATGTTGCTTAAATAACCAGACCTTAAGAAATGGCAGTGTTTGACTTCCTAGGAGCCGGTTACAAATTATGATGCCCTAAGGAAAAATGAGGCAACAGGAGATCAGTTAAGTCTGTTACCATAAAGGACATTTTTGACATTTTGAAACCTGTGATCATAAATTATCATAACTGGAAACCAAAAAGCTGGGGAAAGGGAACAATTCTACACCACTGAAAGCAAAGCTAGAATTATCAAGGAATAACAGTAAGGTTTTTTGATAAAAGATATTTAATGATGATATACCAACATTTTCTCTTGTTATTTCTGAGAAATTTTGAAGATGAAATAAAATTCAACATATCAGAGGGGAGTAGATTTCAGATCTAAATATCCAGGTAATTTTAGAATCAATTACTACTTACCTCCATTATTTTTAAATTTAAGACATCTGCCTATGGGTTTTACAGGTTGAAAAATCAGAAACTTAAAAAGGGGGATGAGTTCTTTTAATGTGAGCTGAATAGATCAAAAATAGTAGCGGCAGTGTTCATATGATGACACTAGAGGGGGTGTGAGGAAAGAATGAAGAAAGAAGGAATAGAACAGAAAGACTTGAAGATCTTACTTAAGTAGCATCCAGGTTACTTGTACTGATTACATCAGTCAAAATAACCACTTGGTGTTTTCTGCTTTATCCGGGAAAACACCCAACAAACCAAAACACCACTCCCTCAAAAAAACAAACTACCTGAAATCAGAGGTGGAAAAAATCTATTAGGTCATCTAGTCCATCCCCTTGACAATAGAAGATAGTTCCCTATGAACTCTTGATTTCTCCATTCTTGCTTTACATATTTTCAGTCCTAGTGTAGATGGGGCTAACAAGCCTCCCTTAAGACATCTCTTATGCAAGGTCAGTTACGTGCTTCTCAGCCCTGTGTATGCAAACAAAAGCACGAAATAAATCTTTATTTCAAGAGTGATTGTCATCAGTTCCTTGGAGGTCTCCCGTCCGTGTTTTTTCTGGCACATGCTCAGTTCAGCCATTCAAACATCATTATTTGGGGTCTGTTGTACCCAGAGACACAATGGAGGGTTTGGCCTCAAGGTCTACAGTAGATGATGGTAGTAGGGAACAAAGAACTCTCTGGCTGATGTGAAGAGTCACACATAGGCTCTATTCCCACTAAAATCTGCAGAAACCCAACTTTTGGTTGGGAGTTTTCCTGTAAAATCTACCTGAGAGAGTTATTTCCACAGCTTTTAGTGGATTACTCATCTTTCTGAGAAGAACAATCACCATTTTAACATACAATCAGAGTGCATCATTATTTATCTCATTAACTACTTTTATTAATATACTTAAAGAGTACATATATGTATTAGTAGCATAGATACTTCATTATCTCTTTACAAAAAAGAGTTATATGTATATGCAGCCTCAAAATGCCTCCACTGTAGCTTGCATTCTGTATTAAATGTCCTTTTATATAAATTACTGCATTTACATAAGTTTATGTATTTTAATACATAAAAACTGTACCAAATGGCATGTTATCTTTTGTCACTGTCCTTCCCAATTTCTGATAATTGCAGTGAATTATGGGGTGTGCATAGTTCATTTACTACTCCAAAACAAGGTTACATTAAAGAGTACAGGCTAATAAGATAACACAGCTACAGATAATACAATAGCTGCATTTGGCTAGAAAGAAGAAAACTTGCATTGTATTTTAACTAAGTTTTGCTCTTTATGTTTTAGATGCTTGATTACTTCACAATAATATTTAATGCCCTTTTTCCCCCTGCCCATTCTTTTTTAATGTCAGTTGTCATGATTGTGCTACAGAGCAGTGCTTTTGGGTAGGGGTAATGGAGCTATGAATCATAAAGATCCTTTCCAGACATTGCCTTCATTTAATAAGGGGAGGCTTAATGTAACCCCCTTTCTTCAGCAACTGATTTTCTTTGACCTCCCTTCTAGTTGCTCTGATCTCATTACGTTGTTGGGCACTACTCAGCAGAAAAGTCAGGCTGCTTTCCAACTATACACTTGCTGCAGAAGCTGTGAAAGGCTGCTGAGCTCAGCGCTCTGACCACCCAATCTATTCAGCAGAACATCAGTCCGCCTGCAGAATCTGTTTCCGTCTGTTAACTTCTCAGGGCCCATGTAAATGAACTAGCTCCCAGTAGATAGCCTTGCCCTATTTATTGTGCCCAAGGCTGTAGAGTTTACTTTAACCAAACCTGAAAGCCAAGCCTCAAATATTTCCATTCCTGGAAAATTGTGTCCCCTCCAAACATACCATCCAGACAAACTCCCTCGCACATTATCCTGTCTTTTGCATTCAGATCATTTTCTGATCTGGTTTTCTTATTGTTTTCAGTTTTCCCATTCTCTTCTCTGCTGAGTGATAGAGATTACAAATAATGAGGTTTGCTATATTTCAACAGTGGCAAGATCCCTGAAAGAATTAGCACACTGGGGATCCTCTTTGACTGCAAACAAAAGTGTATTTACATGTTCACACTGGATAAAGAGACAGGAGTAGTACAAAAATGTATTTTGAGAGATCCTGAGTTTAAAGAACCATCTCCCTGCTGGATGTATCCATATAGACAGTGCGTTAAGAGCCCAGACTTCATAAAGCAAAATAGAATAACGGTTGAAATCTGGTTGGCTGTCAGCCAGGTAGTTATCATATCTTAGTCACATGGGACTCATTAGCTTAATCCCAGGAGGGCTATTAAGGAAACCAACTACAAAAAATCTAGCCTTCAGAATCTAAGGTTCCCATCATACAAGATGACAAACATCCTCAATTAAATCATTGATTGAAATCACTGGGAAGTCAGAGTTTTAGCACCCTTCAGGGGAGCTCAGGATTGACTCCCTTAAAGTCTCAAGAGGTTTTGTATTTATTTAAAATATAACAAGGTATAATTGAATACATGGAAAAATATTCTAAACTGAAATTTACCAATTAAATACAATTAGCTATATTTTGGCAGGACAGGAATGTCCTTGTTCTTACTAAGTTAGACAATATTTGATTAAAACAATTATTTGCAAGTTCCAATGTGGATTATTATTTCGAAGAGAGACATTTTCATGTGTTTGCATCATCTTCTCCAAGAGTTTTGTTCACATGCTGGACATGTTTTGTATGCCAAGAAGAGACAGGTAGAGTTGTAATAACTGAAATTTAGGTTCCGTCACTGCAACGAGACCGTGATAATCTTGCTTATGAACAGATATTGACAGTTTAATTTGTTCTGCTTACTTTACAAAGCTTTATAAATCAGACAGGGAGAGAGTGCAGCAGAAACAGTTTCATAATGAAATGGCAATCCAGTATGAAAATGTAATGAACCAGATTCTACTGGGGAATCAGAGAAGGGCTCTGTGATAATACAACTTTGTCTCATACACATGCTAAGAGCAGCCATCCAGCAAAAGACTCTGTTCACCTGACTGCGCACTGTTCCTCTTCCTCATTCTGAAAGAGTTTCTGTGCATGATGGAACTGACCCATTTGTGATGAATGAATGCTATAGTGTGCCTTCTGCTTAAACACTTTGAAAAGACTGCTGAACATGTTTTAGTCTCGTGAGCAAATGCTTAATCCACTAGAGTTTGTATAGTTTGGCATCCTCAAAGCCTTTTGTCAGCTGCAAAGCATCAGTGCTGACCTGAAGCAGTCACAGCTCCTTTCATGTCAATGGGATTTGTTAGAGCAATGGAGAATTTAGCCCAGTGAAGAACCTGTGAGATGTGCTGGAAGGAGAATTCTGCAGAATGAAGTTCTCTGTGTTTGCACAGGAGAGGTGCAGCACCAAGGCAGACTTTCCTGTACCTGGTGACCCAGAGTATGTTTCAATCTCATTTAAATGGGACCCCCACTAAGGGTGAGAACAGTTCAATTTCTGTACTCATTAAAATACTGGCCACTGGACTGAAATTGTCCGTAAGGGTGTGAACTACTGCCAGTTGTGTGTACTTGTTTAAAAAATTATTTCTAGACCAAGACCAACTCAGTTCAGCTCATCCACGAAACTGCTAACAGCCATTTTCAGTCACTTTTGTCCCAAAGTTGTGATGTAGAGGTGAACATCCATCCATTACCTGCAGGAGCATTTTTTTAAAATCCACACGTGCTCTTTAAAATAAACAGAAAAATGTCAAATAATTTTAATGATTTCACTTATCTAGCATCAATAGGCCATAAACCAGGTCCTTGATTTTATTATAAAGCACAAACAGAGATGCTGGACACCAGTCTCAAGAAACTAAACATTTCTGAATGTGATGGTAACTTACAAAATTCCTCAATAAATACAGTATTTAAGACTGAAGTAACTCCAGGTTACTGAGATTCTATTTTAAGAGGAAATAATTGTTTCTGGGTTTGGCATTATTGTTTTTCTCTTCTCTCTCAACTCTGAGATGTCCTGTCTAATCCAGTTTCCTGGGTAAAAGCCACATAGTTTTCTTAGATGTCAGAGTTGATCCTAAAGCACTACACTCTCCTCTGAGTAATTACAGATTTTAAAATGTCTTTAAAATGATAAAATGAACATGTCATGCAGTTAACCAAGTAAATGCAATCCCTGATTAATATGCAAGTTCTAAGATTCAGAAAACTTCCTACTAATTCCACAGATGCACCCTATTTGAGGAGATGAGTAATTGGTCTTTTTCTGTTTGCAATGTCATTGTATGCAAAAATTCTTCCAGCAGCCTTCATAAACTCAAGTCAACAATTATATGTTCAAATATCTGTGTGTTTCCTTTAAAACTGGAAGCAAAGAAAAAATCTCTCCGATCTGTTGACACAGCTGTGAAAGAACGAGGTGCCTGCACATAAATTTCTTTAAATAAACTAAAGAGCTTCTTCTCATTATCCCACTGATATATTTGGGAAAATGTGTAGTCGCTTCCCAGAGCTAGGTAGTGATTATTTTTAAAGGAGAAAGGCTGCAGTGTCATGGCTCCTCGAGATGGCAGAGCCTGTATCTCCACAAACTGCTTGCTATTCCATTTCATGACTCTGGAATCACCAATAAATCTTGTGAGTGTAATATACAGGGTATTTTGCATCTTAAAGCTCTTCACAGCCAAGACATCTTCCATGTTGGGTATTTCACCATGTGGGACAAACTTCTTTGTACTTTTGTTCCACTGTAGTATAATGGGAACCTGTGAGCGGCTAGATAGGATTAAATGAGATTTTCCGTCTATATCAACAAATTCAGCATCTGTGTCCCTGAACCACTCATGCAGAGACTGGTAAGAGTAGAATCCTTTGTTGTTCCATTTATAAACAGTAGACAAGCCAGCTTTAGAACTATCTGCTATGACAAAAAACCTTTCGCTGTCTATCTGAAACAGCTCAATATCATTTGGCTTGGAAATGCGAGAGACTTCAATGTCTTGGAATTTGACAAACTTTGTCCAGCTTTCGTCATACTTGTAAATGTGTGAGCCACCAAAAAGCTGTGCCACCACCACAAAGACCTGGTCATCAATCAGGATGGCTTTGCATCCCACTATGGATTGCCCTGTTGCTCAAAGAAAAAGCAAAAATGTTAGTTCAATACAATTCAACCATTCAAACAGAGAGAGATTTACCAAGTGCCCTTCCTTCCTCATCCCTCATTTTATTATCTTTCTGCTATTCATTTATCTTCCTGTTCTATTACATGGCAACATGCAGCAGTGCTTTCTTTTCAGACTGCATCAGGCATACTACATTTTTGCAGCAGCAACAGGAAAGGAAAGGCTGCTTTGGATATTAAGCAACAGCAGGGTTCTGAAGAAATGCAAGTGATGTTTTCCTAAAATGCTCGTTTATTTTTATCCCAAACTCTACTCCTTCCTCTGTCCAAACACCTTTCTAATACACTCTTCCCCACAGTGTCTAACAAATTTATTAAGCCAGATTTTATAGCCCTAAAATATAAATTATCAAAACCAGTC